ACGGTAAATTACTGTTCCCGAAAGGGGTATATTAGGAGGAAACATGTAACATTGGTTGAAGCCAGAGAGTTTAAATAAATAGCTTCCTAGTTAGGCTATATGCATGACAGCTAGTGTAGAACCCTTAGCATAGCACTAACGCTTCGGATGGACTATTTAAATAGGCAACCAAAAGTTGTACGTGTGACTAGTTGTACTCTCGTTATACTGATGTAATATGTAAGACGGCCCACCCGTTTGAACTAATAAAGTGCCAGGGGCCTAAATGGTCACCTCAATATTAAAAAAAATTATTAATATTTTTTAATTTTATTTAATAAATTGTAAATACTTTTTAAAATTCCAGACAAATTTGTCTGAAAAACAGTTGAAGGGATAAAGTCTAATAAAGTAGAGACAAGACTGCCAAAATTTAAAAAAATAAAAAAATAAAACTAAAAGTATGTTTTACGAAGAATCAGAAATTCAAGAATCTAAAGATTTATTAACCAATTTGCATAAAACTGTAAATACCTGGATCAAATCATTAGAGCATGAAAATTTATTTGAATTAACTACTGAATATTATTTTGATTTGGATATCAATTTTGAATATAATGAATTTGTTGAAAATACTATTTATCTTGTATGTAATCCAACTGCTAAATGGGAATTGGCTGAATTGTTTGTAGAAGATTTAGAAGCACTATTTTATTTTTATCAGTTTGAAAATAAGACATAGCTAATTAATAAGCTTATATATTATATGCATTTTATATTGTATAAAATTGCACAAATTTCTGTTAAAGCATTGCAACATAAATATCAAACAAATTAGAAATCAAAATAATTATTATGCTTGGGTTAGACTCATTAATATTTTAAAGAATATTGGTAAATTTACTTACTATACTGATTGTTTAGCCTTAAATTGATTTTAGACACACTTTAAAATAATAAATTGTATAAAATTTTAAGAACTTGCTAACAAAATATAGCTTTACAATTTATATCATATGATATTATATTTTTTTGAGCTAATATTTATACTATAAAAGCATAAAAGTTTTAAGTTAAAAAAGATTTTTGCACTATATTTTAATTATTAACTTTACTTTACTAGCCTATAATTTATTTATTACTATATAGTATGTTATTTATTAAAAATTTATTCACTATATATTAATAATTAGCCTATTGAAGTTATAAAGCATGCTAAAAAATCCCAATTCAAAGCTATACTAACTAAAATGTACCTCTTATATTTTTAAAATTTTGATTTTTAAATATTTATATAAAAGATAGAACTTTCAAATATAATAAACAAACATTATGTTAGTTTAATTGTATATAAGATTTATATATTTTAAATTATATTGGACTGGACCAAATTGGACTTGATTGGACCAATAAATTTGGCCCAGTTCAAGTTCAATACTAAATTAAATTCTGAACCAGTCCAATAACAATCCTAACTCCACTATATATACTACTATACAACATCTACTAGTTATAATCCACTCCTCATCACTTATTACATTACTTCTAATTTGTTTCTGTATAACTTCCAAATTGGTGTTCTAGGAGTGGGCTCTCTTCTTGTTTTCAGTTTGGTATCCCTTGAGATGTTACTTCAAATTCTAATCTGTATCTCAAGCAGATGCTGCCACTGTCCAAAGACCTGTATCTCAAACCACATGCTGTCGCTATTAGGAGAGCTATTCACATGATTTCAGATATTCACATCATATACTATTTAATTAAGCTACCACCTCTTTTATAGTACTCTCTATTGGTATGGTGATACAAAAGTCTAGATCTTTAGGATGAGAGTTAGGTATCTCATTTAATTACTGCTACAAAGCAGTAAACCGAAATCTGTACTTTTGCTATGTTTCATTATAAACTTCTATATAGGTTGTGTAACTATTACTCACTAGTCATCTTTATATTCATACTACTAAGGTGCTTGCTTTTATGATTTTCAGAGTTTCTTTTAACCAGTTTTCCTTGTTTCTTTTATTGTACCAGAGGTGTTCTATATTTAGTAAAACTATTCTCTTACTACAGCCCTTTACTATATTTACCACTTCTCTCACCACTTCTAGATATTTGCATATAGCCATCCTCCCAATCAAGATCCCAATGCTGCCTTAGGGTTGTTGGTGCTATCTTGCCAATCGTAAATTTACACACACAGCCTTTTGCAGTATTACTTTCTGTGGTCTATATCACACACAGTGCCTGATCTTCTCCATAGCTTAGGACTCCTTTCAAGAATTCTTTATTGTCCAAATATGTACTTCATATAGTCTTACCGCCACAGGGTTCTGTATTTAAAAGCTCTCGAAGGTTACAGAGATAATTAATTCAATTAATTATCACTAGTTATAATTAAATCATCAACCTTATCTGTAGAGGGTTAGGTGTTTAAACCACTAGGCTATGGAACTAGGGTTGTGGGCACAGGTAATAAAATAGGCATACCCTATGGGCATGCCTTTGGTCTAAGGCATGCCTATAGGGCATGCCCCTATATAGTCACATGATGAATAACTGACCAATCAAATTATACACAAAAACCTATAATTAATCAAAATTTTATATAACTTTTGCCCAATAGTAGATAGTTGCTACATAGTAAAGTTTATATTTTACTATGCAAACCGATAATTATTGATTAAGTAAACTTATTCAGAATATAAAAATATATTTACTCTAAAATTTTTATTAAAATTAAAGAAGTTTTTATTATTTAACTTTTATCTTTTAGCTGCAATATAAATAAAAGTCAAATAATAAAAAGTTCTCCAATATTGATAAAAATTTTAGAGAATATATAATTTGATCTTCTGAATAAGTTTATCTAGATGACTATAATTGATTTACATAGTAAAATTTGGACTTTACTATGTAGCGACTATTGTCAATCATGAGGTAGCTTATTTTTAGATTAAAAATATTTTTGATTTTTTTTTTTACCAAAAGAGAGGAGTAACATATTTTTTAAGATAGTTATTTTGGAGAAATACAGTATTGAGTTTTTGAAAGGCTTGCATTTTAAATTTTTGATTTTTATTAGAATAATTTAATTTTTTTAAAGAAAAAATTAATAAAAAGTATAAGGGGAGTACCATTTATTATCTGATTTTTTGCTACTAAGTGGCTACCCGCCTACTCACCACCTGATCATAAATGCTGTATTTTGATTGGCTAAAAAAAATTTAAAATTTTTTAAATTTTTAATCTTTAATACTAGATAACTTTTAACCCAACGGTCCGTTTTGGATGATTTTACCACCAAAATGCCCGTCTCACTGAAACGATTCTAACAAGCCCAAAATCATCAAAATCCAATTACAGGATTCCGAGATCGGAATAAATTTGTATTATTATTATTATTATTTTTTAATATTAAAGATGAGACCATGCTGGAAACTTTTTACATAATTGAAAAAGGTTTTATATTTTAAGTCTAGTGCTAAGAATAAGAACTCAGACTAACTAATAGATTTGTATTATATTTATATATATAGTATATACTATATAAAGTAATACAAATCTATTCCGATCTCGGGATCCTGTAATTGGATTTTGATGATTTGGGCTTGTTAGAATCGTCTCAGTGAGACAGGCATTTTGGTGGTAAAATTATCCAAAATGGACCGTTGGGTCAAAAGTTATCTAGTATTAAATGTTAAAATTTTTTATACTTTTAATAATTTTAAC